CGAACCCTGGAGGTTGCCTGACGAAGACCGTTTCCGCCAGCTCACCGTTGAGGAAGGCCGATTTAACATCCAAGTGATGGACACGCCAGTCCTTTGCAAGTAGCAAACGGACCGACTCCATGCGCGCTACAGGTGCAAAGACCTCCTCGAAGTCGATGCCCTCGTGCTGGACAAAGCCTTGGGCGATGAGGCGCGCCTTGTACTTGACAATGGCGCCGAGCTCGTCCCTTTTGACTTTGTACACCCACTTTAGGCTGATCGGACGGCATCCTGGGGGTGGATCGACGAGCTGCCAAGTCTCGTTTTCCTCGATCGCCTTCATCTCCTCCAGCATTGCTCGTCGCCAGTTTCCATCGCGCTCGGCTAGCGCGAATGTGGGTGGTTCCTCTGCACTGACGAGTAGCAGCTCTGCGTCATTGAGCAGCCTACCCACCAAACCTGAGGGACCTATGCCGCCGACGATGTCGTCCAGCCTGTGGAACCTCAACTCCTCACCTTCGTGGTAGGCGTCCACGAACTCAGTGATGTCACTTGGAGGTGAGGCGAACTCGATCGGGGGTGATGGAGTTCCTTCTTCCACCAGAGTGCCCTGCATAGCACCTGAAGTGCTCGGCACTGCTTCTGGACTGCTCATCATAACTCCTGCAGTGTTCGGCCACACTGTAGGAGTGCCCAGTCTCAGTCTTGGAGTGGTCGGAACCACAGTAAGACGTCTTGGATCCGCCATGGGAGTGCTCGGCACCCGTCCTGAAGTGGTCGCCACCACTGCAGAACCTCCTAGCGTGCTCGGCATTCCTCCAGAAGTGCTCGGCACTGCCCCAGAAGTGCTCGACTCTACCGCCGGAGTGCTCGGCGCTCCTCCCGAAGTGCGTGGCACCTGTTCCGCAGCGTCTCCACCGCCGTGGATGACCAAGTGCTCGACGACGAAGGTGTTGGTGAAGCCTCCCGCTTCCCCCGTGCTCGGACTGTGCCAGTCCCAAGCTGCCTCCTCGTTGAACACAACGTCGCGCGAGACAGTCACCTTGTCTCCACGTGGGTCATAGAGCCGGTATGCCTTGGTACCCTCCGCGTAGCCCAGGAACACCATGGGTGTGCTCCTGTCCTCCAGCTTGGTGAGGTTCGGCTTCGTCTTCCTAACGTGGCCGATGCAACCGAATGTCCGGAGGAATGACACGTTCGGCTTGCTCCCATACCAAGCTTCGAACGGCGCCTTGCCCGTTAGGGCTTTGGTTGGAGCGCGGTTGAGGATGAACACCGCCGTGGTCAGCGCCTCTCCCCAGAACTTTGCCGGCATCCCTTTGGCCTTCATCATGGATCGGGCCATGCCGACCACTGTCTGGTTCCGTCACTCCACCACGCCATTCTGTTGTGGCGAGTACGGTGCGGCGTGATGTTGCCCCACACCTTGATCCGCGCAGTACGTAGCAAACTCCACCGAAGTGAATTCGCCACCCCGATCAGTCCTCAGTACATGGAGCTTCTTGCCGCTCTCGGCCTCCGCGCGCGTCTTGAACTTCTTGATCGTCACCGCCGCTTCGTCCTTACTCATCAGGAGTTGCAGCCACATGTAGCGACTGCAATCGTCCACGAGCAGGAGGAAGTACCGCCAACCACCTCTTGTAGCAGGCGTGATCGGCCCACAGAGGTCGCCGTGAACTAGCTCGAGAGCTTCCTTCGCGCGATACTTGGCTGCCTTTGGGAAAGGTAGCCTTCTCTGCTTCCTGGCCAGGCAGCTGTCACACAGCTCACCTCCGTGTTTGATGTGGGGTAGCCCTTAGACCATCTTCCCCAGCCGACCAAGTGCGTCGAAACTGAGATGTCCGAACCGGGCATGCCACATCCACGGTTCCTCGGAGTGCCTTGCCGCCAGGCAAACCGGCTGCTCTACCTTCAGGTCGAGCAGGTACAACCAGTTCAGGGACCTCTTCACCTTGGCGAGAAGTCGCTGCTCCCGATCTCTGATCCTCAGAACGTCGTCCTTGATCAGAACCTCGCTACCGCGCTCATCCAGCTGACCAATGCTGATGATGCTGGAATGCAGCTGCGGGATGTAGTATACATCCGTTAGCGCGCGGTGCTCCCTATTGTAGCATCTGAAGATGATGGTGCCACGCCCTTGGATAGCCACCCTTGAGCCGTCACCAAACTTCACCGTACCGGTAACATCACCGTCGAGCTTGGAGAAGGAGTCCTTGGAGCCCGTCATGTGGTTACTGGCACCAGAGTCTAGATACCACCGCTGCTCCTGGTCAACGCCCACATGCCCAAGATGGACTTGGGCACGTGGTTCGTCAAGGTTGATGGTCTTCAGGGCCTTGCTAGATCCTTCCACCGTCGTCGCCTCTTCCCTCTCCATGGCCTCGACGTCGTGCAGTGCACAGAACGTCGCCATAAGGATAGTGGCCTCATCATCGGCTTTCGCCAGGTGAGCCTGAGCCTTCTTTTCCTTCTTGCGATTTGGGCACTCCCGTGCCCAATGGCCCATCTTCCCGTAACACCGACAGGCGTTGGAGTCGATTTGCTTCTTCTTCGAAGAAGCTCTGCAGCGATGTTTGCCGTTGCCACCGCGACTGGAAGAGGCTGCCTTCCTGGAGTTTCGCCGAGCAGCCCACTCCTCTTCCGTCAGCAGGAGTTTCCCGCTGTCCTTCGTTGCTGTCGCCTGCCTCAGGCGTTCATCCACCGCCCGCAGATGGCCTGCCACATCCTCGATGGTGAGGGTGGACAAGTCCAGCATCGTCTCTATGGAGAGAGCGATCTGGATGTACTTTGCCGGCATGGAGTGGAGGAATTTGGAGACCGCCTCCTCTTCGTCGATGGTGACGCCATGGCTCTTCAGCTTGCTGATGAGCGTCTGCAGGCGAAGGGAAAAGTCCACCATTTCACCATCCTTGAACTTGAGGTTTGCGTACTCCTGCTTCAGAAGCTGGGCCGTCGCCTTCTTTGCGCGGTCGGAACCGACGCGCATTGCTGCAATGGCCTCCCACGCCTCCTTAGCTGAGCTTTTCATCCGCCAACGGTTCCTCAGATACTCACGGTAAAGCAAAGCGAGGATAGCCTCCAACGCCGACATGTCGTCTTCTTCCACGCGTGTGCCCTTGTCAACAAAGCATTCTAGAGCCGCCGGGCTCGAAGCTTGACCTTCATGGTCACCGACCACTCTCCATAGTTAGTGCGAGTCGGTCGTCGGCCAAGTGGTGCCGCCGACCTCCCGCATTCATGTGGACAACTACCTCCGTAGTGGCTGGGCAGCTATGAGCATTGCCACCGCCATCGCCCAACTCAAACCGCTTTGTCATCGCCGTTGGTTAGAATGACGACGGCGCTTGCACGGCTCCGATACCACTTGTTGGCCCACGGGATCACCGGCCGATTTGAGTGAACTAGTCTCCTGCACCACTAGTCTCCTGCACCACTAGTCTTCCTGCACCACTAGTCTCCCTGCACCGGACCACTAGTCTTCGGACCACTAGTCTCCCTGCACTGCACCACTAGTCTCCCAGACCACTATACCGGTTGTGTCCGCACCCACACACTACGGATCGAGCTAGAAGAAGAAGGAGAGAAGAGCAAGCACGCACAATACAAGACAACAACGTTGGCCGATGCCCCGTGCGTGTGATGGCAAATCTGAGCTCTCTTTATCGAGTTGCCTTGGTGCCCTATTTATACAACTCTATCTATCTAACTAAAGTACAGCCGCACATCTTTATAAAATAACTAGATAAGCATCATGTGGCTGACTCACTGCGCCGGCCATCTTTGCATGTGCCTACAAGTCTGCGCAGTGAGCCATGCGGCGCTTGCACTGCAGCTGCCATCTTGACACAGCGAGGGGCAAAGTCGGCGCCGCCTTCCTCTGCTGTGTTTCACACAAGGTGGCAGTAGATTAGCTAACAAGGGCCACTCGCCTTTCCGTCTTTATCAACATCCATCTTCACCTCTCCGATCAGGCCCATGGCTCTCTCACCTCGGTGTCGGTTCATCCATCCTAAAGGAAGGTTTAGAATCCGTACCCAGATGTCCATACGGTCGAACCTGATTTCCGACGGCCTGAGATGTTCGTCATAATGCTGCAGGATCAAGGCATGCTTCCCAACCATCCAGGAGAGGCCCCCAACGCCCTTTCCATATCTTGTTGGAAGCCGAATTCCACCACAAACAGATTGTCTTCCTTCTCTCCAATTGTTCTAATCTTTAAGCCATATGGATTACCACACACCGGCTTCATTGCACGAAAGATCGTGGTGGCGTGTACCGTCGCCGGCGAGAGCACCTTGCCAACAAGAGTCCATTCCACAACCGAGACCTCTCCGTCTTCCTCATCGTCGCTGAAAGCCACCACATCTCCTTCTTCCGCTGTCAGGTTTAGGTTCTGCAGTAGGTCAGCGACATTCGCATCCAGGTTCACCGGCTTTCCTCCTCCGATCACGGCCATGGCACAGATCGGCGGGGAGACAACAGGTCTGCCGCGTGCAGGACAGCAACACGCACAGAAAACAAGTCCCGACTTGGGTTCCTAGCGGCGTGCACCCCTAGTGGGAAGTATGTGGTCGACAGCGCCGGAAATGGCTAACCGTCGATATGCAGTTGGCCATCGTCGACTGAGAGTCGATGGCGGGGCGTGGGCGCCGTAACCGAGTGGTCACCGGCGATGCCGATCCAGTTCACTGGAGTTGGTGATCTAGATCGGGGTCGGGACTTTGGTCGCCTTCGAGGTCGCCAGGAAACGGACTCCGCTAATTACGGATCCCATTCGGCCTTCTAGCACGAAAAATTAGCAGTACAAAATCTCTACAATTAGATGATTCCGTTGCGTTGCCACCGAATATTCCGCAGAGCCTAATACCAAACTACCTCATCCACCTGCCAATCTTCATTGCCATTATCTTCCGCCTCTTGTGTTCCCGGTGCTGGGCTGCCATACACCGCTTTGGCTTGGCTTGCCGTTCTGGGTCCACGGCTGCAACAATCTTCTGTGCCTGCTTTCTACTGTCCCGCTTCTATTTCAGGCCCATCCGAACACTGTTGTAGACTTCAACAAATTTCTCGGAACCAATCAGGTCACGTAACTTGTTCTGGACCCCCTGGGCCAGTTGCTTCACTTCATCTGAAACCACAACAGCAAAACGGTACTCAGATAAGCTCAGACAGATGGCAAGCCCTAAGCACTAAGCATGCCTACACTAAATATGTATGCACCTCCGATATGCTGAAAACAAATAATGAACAATACCAAGACAGGAATATTAACACATACCACTAACGACTTTCCCAGCAAATCCTTCAAAAACTTTATACAATGGGGCCAAGAGGTGATCAGCATAGGTTAGTGATTCATCAGAGCCAAGAGCTGATGGAATCATACTGAAGCAATTGAACACGATCTTTATCTGCGTATGGACAGAAAAATTAAGTATTACATACATATGAATTGCAAGCCGCCATCCTAAGAAAAATACAAGGAAATGACTTAGCTGATGGAATGGAGTTGTGTATCCTGCATCTGCATTGCAATTCTTCCCATCTTCTTTAGGATTGACGAAACTAACAAAGATGTGGTACGAAGGAGAAACATATTTTTCACTTTTGTTGAACCAAGCAATTCAAAACCCTCAAGGAAAGCACCACGATCAGAACTAATGCTAGACCAAAACTGATGTGTTGAGGTCGATTGCCTAATCAACATATGCAAGTTGCAGACTGAGTATGCAAGATTCTGAACATTCAGATTATTTGCCGTAGTATCACTCAGTTCAGTCCTCAATTGTTTCAGCAAGGAAATAGCTATTATGAATAGCCTGCTTGGTTGAACAAGCAACCATGATGGGGCCATCCAATTTATGTTCATGTTTTCTCTTCTCCACAGGATTTAACGACGTTAGGCTTTCAGTGGTAGGCGACGTTCCCATTGACAGCGAGGCGTCTGTGGTGACTTCGTCAATCTCAAGATGTTTCGGCATAGTCTTTCGGAGGTGCTCATAGGGGTAGGTGTAGCACCTGATTTTAAGAACAAAACAAGATACACACTATATGTAAGCCCAGGAAGTCAAATCTCACATATAGCTACAAATAAGGGTAATATCAAAAGACAATGCTCAATATATAAAGTACTTAGTATAAAGGATATAACCTTAGATAGCAAACAGTAGAAAGACAACTCCGATCTTCGGGTGAAGACTCCAATCCATAGGGACAACTGACTGGTTGATCACAAGCCTAACTCCTCCATACTAGCAATCTGGTACCCATCCGGGATTTTTCCAAATATTTAAAAAGTAAAGCAAGCGTAAGTACATGTCGTACTCAACAAATATAACATGGGGTTCATGAGACTCAAAAGGCTGACACTGGTTTAACTGCGATTAGCTTTTAATCAGTCATGATTTTAGCAATAGGGTGGCAACAAGTTTATTCACAAGCCCATATAAACACATGATCAGGTAAACATGAATAATGAATAGCATAAATAGAAATCATTAGTGAGCATCTTTATCATCAATATCATCAGTGTTCATCATCTATTCCGTAAATGTTCCAAGGCCGCTCGTGACCGTGAGCACGGCTGATATACCAGTTTTACATTCTGCAGGCGTTGTACACTTTCACTATGAGTCGTGATTTACCCTTTCGCCCGAGGTGATCAGCCTCTTGACCCACTACTAAGGAAGGTCGGCATGGTTCACTATGATCAGCCGCTTTTAATGCTTATTGCATATTCCATTAGTCAAGTTACAAGATCATGGTTGTAGTTGAGCACTAGCATCATACTACCCAATGTAATACCCCATAGCTATCAAGGTACAAGTACGAAAGACTAAATAATTAAGGTGTATAGGACAAAAAGAAAGATCCCATGCTATACTTGTCTTTTACTCTTGCTCACATTTTCCTCATACTTTGCTTGTGGTCATCACCTTCTGATCTTTAGCGCTCATAAACGGTTCTCATTCTACTCATAGCAAGCACCATGCATAGGCAAACATACAAGCAATAAATAAAAGCAACTAAGAACAATTCACAACACGAGAGAAAAACAACATACTAAAACAGAGCTCGTCACTACGGTCATAAGATCACAAGAAACACCGACAACGGAACTACCGTTGAAAGAAACGACTACCGGGAGATTTATATCATAAAAGTAAAAAAAAGCCTACATGCTTGATTTGTTTTAATTTAGCAAAACCATATGAAGCATGCTAATTCAGATTACATAAATTCACATTTTATTTTAGAAGCCGGATTAAACTAGTCATATTTTATTTACCAACATATCTCATATTATTTAAGCCATTTAAACTTTACTTTGCATAGGAAATAAACATGTGAGTATCTATTCAATTTTAACATGCGCCACATGTTTAAGCTAAGCAAATTATGATTTAAAATACATTTATGTCAATATTAATCAAATTAACATTATCATATGAAAAGGTGAATGTTAAACCCTATGTTACTTTTAATTAAAATCTGGATTACATAAAGCAGTAATCAAATTAATATTTAACTTATAAATTTTCAAAGATGTGAGACATGTTAAACATCGCTGCTAACACGCATGTTATGGTCGGCACGGTCGTAACTCAACAAGAATGAAGTTACAACACTAATTAGCTTTTGATTCAGAAAACAGTGTGAGCAATAATATTAATCCAATTAATATTTGTGTTGAAAACTATAAACATGGGACATGCTATATAACATCATCATCGCCTAGCATCTAACGTTACAAAGTGAGCGTAGATCGAAAACATAATTAAAAACTAGATTGATTTTAATTAAAAAGACTATTAGATAAATGTTAATCAAATTAATATTTAATTATGAAAGCGTAATAAGGTAACATGGAACACATCGTCATGAACACGTATCACACGTTGCAATAAAACTCGCGCAATCGAATCGAAATCAAAAACCTAAATCGACTTTAATTAAACATCGATTAATTAATTATAAACACAATTAATATTTTAATAAAATAAATTCATAAACATGTGACATATAAACTAATAACTCTATTGCGTAGATCTTAATGACACGAATCTAACGCAACTTAAACCACTTAAAACGGAATTAAAACCAATAAACGACGAAGGTTACTAACCAGTGGCAATTTTGTAATTATCGGCATCTTCTACCCCCATCCATCCACGTACAGAACGTCACAGAGAGAGGCTCGGCTAGGCTCATTGGCCGGTGGCGGCAAGAAGGATGTCGAGCTAAAACAAGTGCGCATACGCAAGACGACGACGATCAGCGAGAGAAGGAGGAGAAAAAACTAATTTACTACACAAGGGATTTCCCAAACTAGGAGCTCCCCTTATGGTAGTTTTAGTGTGCTTTGCCCAAGAGGTTGGTACAAATATATAGGAAGAAAAACTCCCCACATCTACATCAACTAGCAATATGGTACTAATTGATGTTGCACCCTCCACATTTACTAATGGGCCTAAATAATCATTAAAGCCCATTAGTAAATAAATGCATGGGCCTTTAGAATTTATTAGGATTATTGCACATGGGCTTTGAGCATTGGGAAGAATGACATATTTATTATTTTTGGAATTAATTAATTTTGTGGATAAAATAATTCTAGAAAAGTCTAAAATTATTATTTGAGCCGTGAAAAATACTCCGAAAGCTCTAAAAATTTTGGGAAAATTCTCAGAGACATTATGGAACATGAGGAACCCAAATAAAGTATTTGGAGCCCATGATAAGATAATTTGGAGCATCTAAAATTTAAATTATGCTCGCAGACAAGTAGGAACAAGTTCCAGAAAAAGCTAGAAAAATTCATGAGAAGTTTGTAGAGATTGATTGACGAACGAGAAACTGAAAGGAGTGATTTGCACTACAAACAAAAGATTTTAGGAAGCTCGAAACAAAAACTTGAGCCGAGAAACAAAGAATTTGATTGTAGAAAAAGATAATGGCGTGCCAGAGAAGGAAAATCGACCTACTAACGCATTTTAAAGACTTTGCTCACTCTCAACACACAAAGAAGCAACAAGCAAACATCACATCATCCAAACGCCCGTCAAAATTAGAAAATTTTGAAAAATCACATTTTTTCTATAACTAAATTTGCGCTAGCTCAAACTAAACTTGGTAAATTTTATCCAAATATTAAAATAATTTATTTTATTTAGTGTTTTCTATGCACAGCCTAAAATCAGAAATTTTACGGTGTGACAAACTACCCCACTTAACAGGAATCTCATCCCAAGATTCGAAGAGACTAGGGAGAAAAATAAATATCTTCATGCCTCCACACTTCCTTGATTGGGGATTCATGAGATGAAGGAATGAACTTGCATGATAAATTGGATTTGGGAGTTGCACAGGATAGCAATGAAGATAAAGGTCAATGATGCTTTGTAGAGGATGCTACCCCACTTAACAAGAGTTTTGTTAATCTCTGAATATTCCATATGAAGATCCTCGTGTTGGTGTAGTCTTTAGAGCCTTCCTTTGGATCACAAAGATAGGGATAACAAACAAGCAACACACAAAACAAGACAAGAATGCATCATAACATTGAAACTACATATGCTTCTATAGCAATGGTGGGCATCCTAAGGAGTGGATTATGATGAAAAGTCATCGCAAATTTAAATAAGGTGAGATCAGAAAACTTTAGTAAACAAAAGAAATAAAAATCAAGGAGATAAGAAGCAATAGATCAAAGAAAGCTATCAAGGAGGGAAGAAAATTGGACAAGGATAAGAAATAATCAATTCAACTAGTCAAGAGATGAAAAACTAGTTTTGTAGCAAATTCTAAACCTTAGAACGACCAGTTTCTGTTAGGCTTGCGTCCTACAGTCAGCATTGCTCCGATATCACTTTGTAGCACCTGATTTTAAGAACAAAACCAGATACGTACCATATGTGAGCCTAGTAAGTCAAATCTCACATATAGCTACAAATAAGGGTAATATCAAAAGACAATGCTCAATATATAATATACTTAGTATAAAGGATATAACCTTAGACAACAAACAGTGGAAAGACAACTCCGATCTTCGGGTGAAGACTCCAATCCACAGGGATAACTGACTGATAGATCACAAGCCTAACTCCTCCAGACTAGCAATCTAGAACCCATCCAGGATTTTTCCAAATATTTAAAAAGTAAAGCAAGCGTAAGTATATGTCGTACTCAATAAATATAATATGGGGTTCATGAGGCTCAAAAGGCTGACACTGGTTTAACTGCGATTAGCTTTTAATGAGTCATGATTTTAGCAATATGGTGGCAACAAGTTTATTCACAAACCCATATAAACACATGATCAGATAAACATTAATAACGAATAGCATAAACAGAGATCATTAGTGAGCATCTTTATCATCAATATCATCAGTGTTTATCATCTATTCCATAAATGTTCCAAGGCCGCTCGTGACCGTGAGCATGGCTGATATACTAGTTTTACACTC